CTGTTAATTTACTTTTCAATGCTTATACGAGTTTCTTTGTACTGTATAATGGCCAGATGATTGACCTGCAATGCGCGGAACGATTTCTTTACGGAGGGTAATGCGCAGGTCGGGTATTCTTCGCTGTGTAATGCCGGCTTATCTTGTACTGCTGTGCCCGCGGTAATGAATACTCTCCTACGGAAAGCGACACATTTATTGCCAGGCCTCACACGTTATTCCTTCAACCCTATAATTATCACAACTGAATTTATATGTCAGAATTCACTACTAATCGGATTTTCCTATGCGATCGAAAATAATCATAGGCATCAGGGCAATGGAAGGCATTACATCAGGCTGCATGCCATGATAACCTAACTCACGCGAGAAAGGTACGGCAAAGAAAAAAAAAAGGAAAAAAAAAAGTTATAACAAGACATAAAGTTGTGGCTACACATACATTAAGGAGGGAGGTGGAGGCAGCTAGCATAGGCCTACATTTCTGAGAAGACCATCTCATTCTAGTTATTTTATTCGGTTCTGTTACATATAAGTACGCCATGTATACGATATGCTCATGTATTTCACTACACACAAAACAGGCCTTTGACGGTTTTGCATGAACGCGTCAGGAAACGCCACAAAGTATCCGATTCAGCGAACGCTAACCTCATTAACGTTCTTCCCATGCATGCACAGTGCTAAGAAAAACAAAAGTTTATGCACGTTAAATTATGCTCAGTGAAACTGCGAAAGTACACGCCAGATGATCGGCCAAGGGATCGACAAAGGTTAAAAGTACAAGTATAACATTCAAACAATGTTAATCCGAAAATACAACGCGCTCGAGACACAGATAATAAAGCCTAAGCCAGTGCCGCGCGAGAGGACATAGTTTACGAGTCATTAAGGAGAACCACAAACGTTTAATAAATTCGACCAAACGTGACATTAGGCCGTTTATTGTGCTTCGCTAAGAGATGCTTGTCGGATAAAAAAAAGAAAGAAGAACAAAAAGACGAAGAAGAAGAAGGAAAAGAAGACGAAGAAGAAGAAGGAAAAGAAGACGAAGAAGAAGAAGGAAAAGAAGACGAAGAAGAAGAAGGAAAAGAAGACGAAGAAGAAGAAGGAAAAGAAGACGGAAAAGAAGAAGGAGAAGAAGACGAAGAAGAAGAAGGAAAAGAAGACGAAGAAGAAGAAGGAAAAGAAGACAAAGAAGAAGAAGATAAAGAAGACGAAGAAGAAGAAAGAAAAGAAGACGAAGAAGAAGAAGGAAACGAAGACGAAAAAGAAGAAGGAAAAGAAGACGAAAAAGAAGAAGGAAAAGAAGACGAAGAAGAAGAAGGAAAAGAAGACGAAGAAGAAGAAGGAAAAGAAGACAAAGAAGAAGAAGAAAGAAAAGAAGACGAAGAAGAAGAAGATAAAGAAGACGAAGGAGAAGAAAGAAAAGAAGACGAAGAAGAAGAAGGAAAAGAAGACGAAGAAGAAGAAAGAAAAGAAGACGAAGAAGAAGAAGAAAAAGAAGACGAAGAAGAAGGAATAGAAAACGAAGAAGAAGGAATAGAAAACGAAGAAGAAGAAAAGGAAAGAGACGAAGAAATGCCACATACACCTACCAGCAGCGAGTGTAAAACGTAACAAATAAATCTGACCCCGACAAGACATTACGGTGTTTATATGTGCTCGAGGCTGAAGAACTTTATGGGACAAGTGGCCACGCGGACGCAAGTGGCTGTCCGAATAAGCGGGGTTAGGGGATATGAGATGTGTTGTGGCGCATCACTTTTCTTTTCTTTTTCCCTTTTCTTTTTTTTTTGCCTTTTTATGCTCTTTCTTTCTTTCCTAGCTCTCTCTCTCTCTCTCTTTTACATACAATGAACAAGTAAAGAGCCCTTTTTACCGTGTTGGAATTATATCAAGATAAGAAAGACCGACGTGAAGGATATCAACGCCATTTTTTGAATTTCTAATTTTTGCACGCTTTCGCCATCAAATTCAGTCGCCGGAAAATGTGAAAATTCGCCTGATATCACGACCTGCATCAAGGGGGAATCGATTCGCTCCGTCGATTGTCTTAATCCACCTTTTTAGTTTTACGACAACCGCCAAAAATAATCGCCTCTGGAATGCAATCTTATCACCAGCATTAGTCTTTCTTGTAACAGTATGAGTCATTCCGACATTCCGCGTTGTTATGGCAGTCACGCAACGATCGGAGAACGAATGGCGATGAAGAAAGAATAACGAATAACGACGAGGAACATATAACAACGAATAACGAAAAATAACTAATAAAAAAAGATGAGCAAATAACAACGAATAACGAAAAATAACGAATAACAAAGAAGAACAAATAACAACGAATAACGAAAAATAACGAATAACAAGGAAGAATAAATAACAACGAATAGCGAATGACGATGAATAACGATTGAGCATGATATCAACCTGAAAGAAATGTGCAACGAGGAATTACCACATAAAGCTGCAATCCTACCAAGCTAAACCGTGAACATCT